AAGCTTTCCAATGGACAATATACAAAAGGTCAAATAACTTCCTGTGACTTACTTACTTTTCTATTCACTTGACTAACTTGACAAAGGCTGAGTTATAAGTCCCTCTGCTTCAGTGGAACTTAATTCCTGAAAAGTGTGGTCAGCATTATATCCCTTGCTTTAAGAACTTATGTCATTCTGTTTGCTAGAGCTGTACTATTCCCTGGTATTGATTTCTCTTTGTACCACATCTAAACTGCATTGTCATATAATGCTCAAAAAGCATTTAATTAAAATGCTATATGTAAAACTGGACATAAATTTTCAGTAAGACACTTCTGGGGAAAGATGCCATATCTACTGCTGTTCAATCTGCACGGTTACAGATTATACAACATACAGTGTAAGGACTGTAATAGCCACTATGTAGGTCAGACAGGCAGAGGACTAGCAGAGCGTATCCATGCACACCAACTAGCAGTCAGAAGACACAATGAAAACTCCTGAATCTCACAACACATGGACAGACTCAACCCTAGTTTCAACTTGAAAACTGAGCATCCTAGACCAAGCTAAATCCAAAAAATGCTAGGGAATTCCTAGAAGCTTGGCATTCAGATAAATCAGCCATCAATAGACACATAGAGATAAACCACATTTACACACCATTCAAAAGAGACAATAAAAAAGCTAAGAAGGAAACAAAAACACCAGAACACTTCCTCTCCAGCAGCCTACACCCAGATAAGCAGGAATTAATACCAGACAAACAAGCAGAAAACAATACCCTAATCAAGGAACTACCAAGGAGTACACCACACCCCCACCAACACTGGCAGGGCACACTACTGTATATAAACAGGGAGCAAACCCCACTCTCACTAGCATTGATAATGTTACTTCGTTGGGTAATAAAATGTCTGCAAGCAAACCATCAAGCTCAGAGAGCACCAAGGACTCCATAGTTCAACCCTGAGCTACATACAATACTGTGCAAACTTTTTAGGCAGGTGTGAAAAAATGCTGTAAAGTAAGAATGCTTTCAAAAATATATATTGTAATTGTTTATGTTTATCAATTTAGCACCCTTTGCCTTCAAAACACCATCAATTCTTACACTTGCACACTTTGTACACTTGCAGAGTCAGGGATCTTGTAGGATTAGAGCCAGGTGTATGATTAACCAGTTATACCAAGCAGGTGCTAATGATCATCAATTTCATATGTAG